CAGCCAAAGCTCAAGGAACAGTTGTCATGTTCCAACTGCAGATGGATTGTTTATAGTCACTCCTCTGGCATCCTTGGAAGCTGTCCATAGGATAAGCTAGGTTATGCTGCAGTAAGAAGCAGTATCAAACTTTTAGTGGCTTATAAAAGATGTTTATCTCTTGCTCATACCACATATCCATATTAGGTTAGTGGGTGGGAAGGGTTAGAGGGAAGGGTTCTACTCATAAGCAGATCTTACTTGTCCTCACTCTGGGGTCCCAGCTAATAGAGAAGGAGCCAGTCGTGTGCGATGTCACCAGTCAACACATCATGCAGAAAAGGGAAAGTAACGAAGAAAGCACTGGTTCTTCTAACTTCCACCTAAAAGTGACATAGGCCACGTCTGCTCATATTTCAGTAACAAAAGCAAATCATACATCTGAACCAGATTCTATATTTTAATGCTATTTTTTAATTATTTTTTTGAAATTGAGATAATATCAGTTTATAACACTGTATATGATTCAGAGGTATAGGATCAAACCTTTTCAGATATATGTTACCCACCATCTCCACCCCCATAGCTCCCATAATCCACCACCATAGATCATTGGGCCCCTCCACCCACCCCCTTGGCTTTCCACCCCTTACACTCCCTTGTATGTTTCCTCCTGACTTATTTCACTTAGCATAATCCCTTTCAGTTCCATCCATGTTATTTCAAGTAGCAGGGGAGTATTATCCTTCTGTGGGTAGAGACCTGAAGGGAATGACACCGAGTGAACTTCCGGTATAATGATGGATACGCATGATGAGAGTGGAAATTCTTGCTTTGCTTCCAATCTTAGGGGAAAAGCATTTCCGTCTTTCATCATTATGTAAAATGTTAGCTATACGGTCTCTCCTCTTGCTTCTCCTTCTCCTTCTCCTTCTCCTTTTCCTCTTCTTCAATCCTCGTTATATATTTAGGCAATTCTGCTTTATTTCTGACTTGCTGAGTTTTACCTTGAATTAGTGTTGGATTTTGTATGATGTATTTCATACAATGATTTTTGAATGTAGTCATTTTGTAGTTATCAAACTTAACTACTGAATATTAACAACAGCCATGTGAAATGATACTATTATTTATCGACCTATAAATGAAACAATAAGCTCAGAGATGTTAAGTTGCTTAAAATCAATCAGTATAGAACCAATCTGGGAATTGAACCGAGGAATACACTCACTCCATTTCTCATGTCTGCTCAGTCTGTTAGTGTTGGAGAAATAGCAAGGAGCACATTCTGAGCCCCTGAATGACATCCCGAATCAACTCCACCCCCTGATGTTTTTACAGATTCCACCCCATCAACATGCCGAAGATATCTCAGGCACCAAGGACTACCCTCCCAGCATGCCATGAATCTGACTTCCTAAATGGGGATGGTCATTGGAACTAGGGGTGGAGTTAAGCAGTCATGCTTGTCTTATGATTGAACACACGTGGGTTCTCTCTTGTTTCTCTGATATCAAATCGCACCCAGGGACTTGGAGGGGACTTTGAGGAGTCATGTAAAGGAGAGACACATGGGAAAGCTGTTCCTGGTCTTTGGCAGAGACGATGGGCAGCTGTTACCTTGATGTGATATATTTTGCATTTTCTGTCTCTTTCTGTCCCAGCTTTCTGAGACCTGCATAACCCATTTCTCGTGGTTCACCTTCAGAAGGTAACTTAATCTTGTGGAAAATGTTTAGGCCTCAGTGACCCTGCTTTGAGCCCATCCTGTTTGATTTGGCATTTGCCCACGAGTAGATGGATAGTTTTCAGAATTATATTGAGAATCTGTTACTTGAAATCTTTTATTCTCTCTCTCTCTGTCTCTCTCTCTCTCTCTTTCTCTCTCTCTCTCTCCACACACAGACATATATATGCACACTATATCTATTAAACAATTTTCACATTAAGAGTATGCTTCCTTTGCCTTTGTGTGCATGGATGGCTGAATCCCTTTCAGAGAGGGCACGCCTCAACAGTTAGGGGTCCCTGAGTGCCCCTCAATCATGCGCTAACACTAGTCTTTCTTCAGGCACTGATCAGAAATTCATTAGCATATGAGCTTCTTCCATTGTATAAATAAACAAGGGAACCTGACTATACTAAGTAGACTTAATTTTTTTTAAGTTTTATTTATTTACTTATACAAGCACTGGGTACAGTCAGAAGCGTGGGAGGGTGAGCGAATTCACCAGAGCCAGAGGGGGGAGCAGAGCAGGCAGAAGGACCGAAGCACACTGCTGAGGGGAGCAGCGGGTGGCAGGAGAGGTCTGCGCGCCATGTGGGACCCTCCTCCGGTGGCCGGAGAGCAGCCGGGGATCGAACCGGCGCTGCAGAGGCTGCGGGCAGCTTCGCAACCCAGCGCTCAACCGCTGCGCCACCGGGGAGGCCCTAGACTTAATTTTTTTTAATCATTGTTTATTTTTAAACAATATTTGCTTCCCCCCCACCCCACCCCTTCAGGACTAAGTAGACTTCTAACAAAGATAAGGATTCTCTCTCTCCTGTTTTTGAACAATAGTCCATTTCCTGGAAGTTATCAAAGCTGGTGTTAAATCACAGCCAAAGTTCATAGAAATGTCTTCTTCTAAACCAGAGGATGGATGGGGGTAGTAGAAGGTGTAATGGTCAAACTCAATTATTTTAAGTCCCAGGATCAGCATTGTAAAGGTGACTCTATGCGCCTCTATCACAGACAGTGACTATCAAGCTGCCCTTAAAAGGATTCATGTCTGTGCAACATCTGTTTAGTGACATATTGGAATCATGAACTCTGGTGGCTCAGAAGAGGTTTTTTCTACAGAGTAAGAAAAGCTACTTCATGCAATTATTTTCCAAAAATAATTAAATTAAGCAACTTTCCCTATTGTTACCTTTTTCTTTTCATTTGTTTTCAAATAAATAGCCCCAGGGCTTGTTCCTTCTAGTTTCCTTAGAACTATACTTGGTTAATCAAAATAAATATTTCCCTCCTCTTTCAAAGGAAATAAGTGTCTGAGGCCAACTTCTTCAGATTCATTCTCATTCCCTCTTTCACTCTCTTTACCCCCAGCCCCTACTTGCTACATTTCATGGTATCTCATTGACCACAAACTCTGCTCCCTTAAATCAGAACTTTTTTGCACTTTCAGATACAAATTTCAGAGGAAAACACATGCAATTCTTATTTCTTGTCCAATTCTTATTTCTCAAAAAATGGGTCCAATGACTATGCTTTTTTCTGCCTTGCTCAGTAGATGAAGTTTAATACTTAACCTCCCTTCCCCTCAACGCTGACTCCCACCAAACCATGGCAGCACATGGCTGTTTCCCCCTCAAGATATTGGAATAGGGAGTCATTCCTTGACTTCTCCCCCAGTGAGTCCAAAGTCTGAGGGATTCCTTTCCTTTAGTTCCTGGGCTCCCTTGAGTTATTCCATCAACTTCTACCTCTGTATCTGAGGACCTCAGTCAGTTGAACAAGTTCCCATCTATTCATCTAAAGAAGTAAGGGAAAGGTATAAACCAGGTTCATGTGTCCAACTGTCCATGGTCCAAATTCTGTGGAGGTAGAAGGACCCTTTTCTGGAAGAATAATTGGGTCAGCCTAGAGCTCCCATTCAGCATTGGCAGAGTGAACAGCTGCCGGTGAAGAACTAACAGCCACCTCCCCTACTGACTCATTAAGTCAGATATTTACACGCCTTTCCCTCCTGGCCACAAGGTCTTGACAGGGAAGGTGTGAAGAAGGGAAGCACATTGATTGTCATTTCCCTAGGGATGGAAATAATGTGAGCAGGAAATTCTAAGGGGAGTGGGGAAGAGAGTGTAGGAGCCCCTGCAATGGGTGGCAAAGGATCACTTTGCAGAAAGAGGTCTCTCAAAGCATTGAGGTCTCTCTAAGACTACTGCGGCCTGCTACAAAGTTGCTCTGGGATACCTTAGGCAGTGTCTAACCCCAAATTTCCTGTCCTCCTCAGCCAAATGCTGTTCCCTGCTACATTGGGATGAGTCTCTAGACCTGTTCAGAAGTATCAATATATCCTTTCCATCCTAAATGCTGAAAATTCTATTTTTCTCACAGAGAAAATACCCCTAAAGAAGAGAAATATGTGACTAAATGGATTTTTAGCTGCTGGAATATTCTGCCAGACAAGAAACCATTTCCCAGTCACCATGAGTTAATGTTTCTTTAGGATTCTGGAAGTATATCTAGAGATTGGTATCTAAATCCACCAATTTGCTCTGGGCTAGACTAGAAGGGGCTAGACTAGGATAGAGCAGTGACAAGCATTGTGAGGTATTCATAACACTAATGTTGGCTGGGATTCCAGCACCTTCTCCATCCCATTCACCTGTATCCCTACCATTATGGAGATAATGGAGCAGATGGTGGCTAAACACACTTGGAGCTGGCACAGGGTTTAAAGTCTCAGTGCTATCAAGCTACTGCTATCAAGCTAGTGCCAGCCACTGGGGCATGAGTTCAATTCCCAGCCAGGGAACTATACACATGGCACAGCAGATCTCTCCTGTCTGGCCTGCTGCTCCCCTCAGCAGTGTATTTCAGTAGATCCACCTGTTCTGCTCCACCATCTGTCTCTGGTGAATCCTTTCACGCCCCCCCAACCTCTGGCCTACACCCCAGTTCTTCTATGCATAAATAAATAAAATCTTAAAAAAAAAAACAAGTCGGAGGAAAATATCATTGGTAGTTGGAGAAAGTTGGGTCAAAAGCCAAGTGCAGAAAGGCCAGACTGATTTTCAACTATCTCCTAGATTTGTGCTTAAGAGGTGAGTTATACAAAAAGTTCTTCTGGAGCAGGGCTACCTGCTGGATATTATAATTCCAGTAATAACAAACCAACATTTATTGAGCTCCTACTATAAGCTCATGCTTGACTGGGTTACTAATATACTAGGCCATGAGGTCACAATCCAGTGATGGAAATTCCATCACAAAGCAATATGGTCACTCCTCCCAGTCACTGTGCTCAGTGCTTCGGATTCAACAGTGAATACAGCAGTGTGGCCTCTGGAGAGGGTAATGTGTTTACTAAATCTTTTCCTTCTTCCCACACATAACTAGACCATATTTCTCAGTTTTCCTTACAGCTATATGTGGTTACGTGATTGAGCGCCAGCAAACAGAAAGTGAACAGAAGTACTGTCTGCAACTCTACAGACCATAAAGCCCACGTAAGGTATATGATCTTCTCTTTTCCTGTTAATGGGCTGGATATGGGTTCTCAAGAGGATATTAGAAGCCAAATGTTAAAGATGCTAAAACTCCTATCAGCCTAGGTCCTGAATGACTTTATAGAACAGATTATATATCATTAGCACCCACCTCCCATCACCAACTGGGTTCGATTTGAGTAAAAATAATAACAATCTATTTTGTTCAACTTTGAGAATACTTGGGGGGTTATCTCTTACTGAAGGAGGCATTATATCAATGCCAAAATCAGTGGTCCTTACCTTCATGGAGCTTGTATGTAGTGGGTATACAGTAAAGGAGTGTCCAAAATCCAATGGAAAATTAATGTAGGCCAATAGCAGAAGATCTTGCCCATACTATAATATTGAGAAGACTCTTGAGGGAGAAAAAAACACTCCATACGCAAGACAATAAATCGAGTAGAGGGCAGCATATACAAAGACCACACAATAAGAGAGTTCCAGGGGACTATGACTAAAGAACAGAAGGCAACAGGGTTGGGGGAGGTCCAACTCTGACAAGTGAAAAAACTGCTAGACAACTATGTGGACATAGTTGTGATCCTGGCCATTGGTATATTTGGAAATATGTGAAGGTTTGGGGTAAGCCAGCATGAGACACTCTTTCATCACATCAATTCAAAACAATTCCCAGACAAGAAGACCAAGGGTGAGGAACTGAAAACTGTGACCTCAGTTCTTGCTGCTGGTAAGTCTGGATTTCTTGACTCATTCTGAACCCCATCCCTGAAAACTCTCACCCCTATCTACTGGAAGAGGCCAGTGAGTGGTCTCGTCTTCACCCTCCCATTTACAGAAATTCCTCTTCTGGGCAATAATCCACAGGCTATGCTCTGCAGCTGCAGCCTATGAGCACCTTCCAGAAGGTGAGGTCCCAGGAGCCAAGAGTCAAAGGGAAAGAGCAACCACCTGCATGTGTTGTTGTGTCTGATTAATTTCAAATGAATATTCCAATGCTTCATAAGTTCCTGGATAGTGCTCTGACATCCTGCAATTAGCCTTAAATGGATATGCTCCATGCAGAAATTTGGAAAGAGGATGACTCTGATCTCAGGGTGTAGATAAACAAGTAAATCGATAAACTGAACTTGAAGGAGGGACCTTTGAGATTCCCCCTCGTTCAAATGCCCCGTGTAACAGCTGAAAAAACTGAGGTTCAGGGAGGGGTCCTGACTTGCCTTGCGTCACAGAGTGAGTCAGTTAGAAGAAGACCTTCAGGTCACAACTCCCAGTCCAGTGCTCTTTCCAGTATACTCATGAAGTAAATAGACCAATTGGAAACATGCTGGAAGTTACCAATGAAGGAAATAGTGTGTGGTTCCAAGGCAGGGAAGCTCAACATCTGGCCAAAATGTCACAGGCAAGGTTCAGTAAGAAGGTTTCCTTCTATGGACTTTCCATTGTGTTGCCTGTAGTCTGGGAACAACAGGCAGTGTGTGTGTGAGGGGGTGGGGGGATTAATTTAAGCCTGTGGCTGGTTCACTTTGTAAAGGAAGGAGCCCAGGAGACTGTCACCTCTGTGATCTGATCTAAAGGGCAGAGGAGGCTTTCCTGCCCTAGATGATCTTCCCCACCAGGCTGCTATTTCAGGTAAGTGTTGTTTTTCCTTTAAAAAAGCCTTGGCAAGAACACACTGAAGATTTTTTCCAGCCACTAAAGTATTAGTATGAATTAGGTATGTATTTTATTTCCAGATGTTCTATCAATTCACATCAAGGAAAGCAGCAAATTTGATGTAAGCCAGGGCAGAATTGATCATGGGTTGCTTGGATGGGGCCTAGAAATCTAGGCTGCCTCCTATTGCAAGTTTCAGGGGCTCTGTGGTGTGCTGCACACTTCAGTCCTAATCATTGCTATCCAAAGGTCTCATTGGCCATGCCCTTGAACTTGCCACACAAGGAGTCTCCTCTTCACCTCTTCCTGCACCTGGATTTACAGCAATCAATCCTGTTTCTGGTCCCTGGGGGTAGTATAGTGGGTGAGAGCTTACAAAGCTCTCTCTGTGCCTTGGAAGGCACAGAATCCAAGGAAAGAGGTGAATTGCAACACCAAGAATTAAAGTTAAATATAAGGGAAAGTTTTTTTGGTAATAAAGGGATGTCCAAATGACTCCTTGGAAAGGAGTCTTACAAACAAAAAGCAATAGAAAACTTTCAGTGGAGAAACAAACTGGAAGAACATATTTCCAACATATAGTACAGACTGAGTTGAGATCCCCAGTATTTTCAAAATGTTCTTACAATTTGATATAAAAAAAGACAACCATGAAATAGCAAAACAGTAAAAATTATAAACTGGTAAATCATAGCAGAAAATCTCTACCTGCTACCTCAGAGTCACGGCAGTCTCAGAGTACAAATGATAAAGTCACGTGACAATACAAGATACTCAACCTCACTAACAGCCAAGAAAATGAATGTTAATATTACTAGGAAATATATTTTACCCTTCAGATTACAAAAATAAAAACCTAAAGGTTGTTAGTATTCAGTATTGGAGAGCACTCTCATACACTGCTGGTGGGACTATGAATTGTTTTAACTTTTTCCGTAATGGAAGTAGGCATAAATATCTTAACTGCACATGCCCTTTGACCTTGTGTTCTCACTGTGGGGAATATATTCTGCATAGTAAGAAGCAAAGGTATATAAGGAAGTATATAAAGTGGCATTACATATAACGTATAAGTATAATAATTGTTGGGCTTCCCTGGTGGCGCAGGTGGTTGAGCACTGCACTGCCAAGCTCTGCAGCGCAGATTTGATCCTGGCTGGCTGGCAAGAATCCCACATGGCGAAGCAGACCTCTCCTGTCTCGCCCGCTGCTCCCCTCAGCAGTGTATTTCAGTCAGTCTGCCTGTTCTGTTCCCCGCTCTGTCTATGGTAAATCCTCTCACCCTCCTGTGCATCTGGCCTGTACCCCGGTTCTTGTATAAATAAATAAATAATTCTTTAAAAAAAGTATAATAATTGTTTATGTATCTATTTGTGTATATATATAATGGAATAAAAATGGAAATGACATAATATCCATCAATAAGGGACTAGTAGAATAAATTAAGTATATCCATTAAATATACCAATAAATTAGGTATATCCATTAAATGTGTGTGTATATATATATATATATATATATATATATATAATACTACAGAATATTCAGGATGTGCATATATCCAGAATATTCTACAGGTATTTTTTAATGGATTAGATCTATAGCACTGATCCAGAGGAATGTCCACGACATACTGGTAAGTGAAAATGAATTGTATATTAATGTAGAAATGTGGTCTCATAGTTGCAATCCAAGAAAAGAGAAGGCCTGTTTATGTGTTTGCACATATAGAAAGACATGACCAAAGACACATCAAGCTGATAATATTCACTTTGCTAGGAGGACAGAATTGGAAGAAGAGGGGTAGAAAGAGGGGAAGAAACTATTTTTTCTTCATATACTGCTTTATTTTTTTGTGACAACAGAATAGATTACATTTTTGAAGTAGAAAATATTATCATTTTTAATATGGAGGAAATACCAACATTTTTTAGTTAGTAAAGACCTTTTCCACTTTTAAAATACTGATGCAGTATTTTTAACACCCCAGGGTCTATTAGGAAACAACAGATGGCACATTCCCACTCTTAGAATCATTTTGTGCAAATCCAAGAGAAAGAATCCTTTTTCCCCACAGACTAGAAATTCTGTCACAGTGGAAGCTGGACTCTTGGGAAACGATGTTGTGGAATCAGGGACAAAGGCCAGTGCTGACACCCTGGGGCAGATGACAGAGTGTATGTTCCTCACACAGGGTGTGTGACTACACTGAAATATGAAAAACCTGGTTTCTTATGTGTCTCATAAACCAGTTCTAAAGGCATTTTCCAAAAAAGAAGTCCAAAATGTTTGGGCGGCAGCGGCTGCTTTAGTGTAAGCCTGTTCCCCCAAGGTTGCTATTTGGAAGGACAACACTCAACCACTTCAAAGTGGTTCTGCTCTGTTGGTATAAAAATGTTCTGGCCGTTGATGTGAAAAACACAAAGGGCTGTCTCATTTTATGGCCACACCAATTCTGCTAAGTGCAAAAACGACCTAACCTTGGATATTTGTACTTTTAATTCAACCTCAGAGGGGATTGCTGCAGTTGGTTCAGGTGACCTATTACAGTGCTAAACTGACATCACTGCATTCTCAAGGTCCTCAGCCCTGTTTAGTGTAAACCTCCCTCACATGGGAAGCCCAAAGGGTGCTTGGTTTCTGCTTCTCCTACCATGATTGAGAGACACTACTACCATTCTTGAGTGCCTATTTCTTATGTGTCAGGAATTGTGTCAAGTGACAATGAGATTAAGTCACCAGCAGGATAACTAACTTGCCAAAGACCACATAGCTACTATGATGTGGAGCTAGAGACTGCAACCAGTTTGATTCAAAGTCTCTGCTCCTATCCTGTTAGAGGGTTATATCAATATTTTTAGTTTGTGTGTATTCATTTGGGACAAAAGTTGCACCACTGTTGAATTTACTTTGCTGTGCCCTGATTCATACAGTGAGGGTGTGGGTCTCACCAGATGAGAGCACTTGGATACACAAGACGGATTGTGGGCTCAGCAGTCAAACAGGATCACTGCAAATCCCAGCCCCATGACTTGCTAGCCTTGCCTCAGTCACCTGACTCTTAAAGTGCCCAACGATGCATTAGATTGTACCGAAGATGAAATGAGTGAGTATAGGGTTCACACAACAGTGTCAGACACAGAAGGAGTCAGAAATAATATGAACCATGCTTATCATTATTATCATAAAAGTGTGGACCATTACAGATGCTATGGCCGTTTTCATTATCACATGGATTTATATCAATTCGTTTGGCTTGACCTTCAGAATATGTTTTTTTTGTCATAAAGAGTAGTCTACAAAATGGTTAGTAGGACACATCTCATTACTATTCTTTAAAAATGCACAGATATTTGCATAGAAGAATTTCTGGGAAAAAAATCAAATGTTAACAGTACTTATGCATGGGTAATGACTTTAAGTGTTTTTTTTTTTAAGATTTATTTATTTATACAAGCACTGGGTACAGTCAGAAGCGCAGGAGGGTGAGAGAATTCACCAGAACCAGAGAGAGGAACACAACAGGCAGACTGATGAAATACACTGCTGAGGGGAGCAGTGGGCACGGCAGGAGAGGTTTGCGCTGCCATGTGGGACCCTCGCCGGGACTAGGGATCGAATCGGCCTGCGCCACCAGGGGAGCCCCATGACTTTCAGTGTTTTTAGGATATTTTTTTCTTTTAGTGCATTATCAACATCAAAAGTATCTTGGCTTGGAAGTCGAATAAGAAAGAGGAGAAGGAGGATAAAGATAAGGTCGAGAAGCACAAATAAGAAGAAATATCTCTGTGGTGACGCACATCTGCGAAGGTGAAAGCCTATTCCTCGGACTCATATACAGTGCCGTGAACCAACGTCACCTCAAGGAGAAAAAAAGAATATCTTGTCCAAACAAAGTGGGTCCGCATCAGAATGGAGAACATTCTTCAAGCAATAATAGAGTGGTCACAGAACTAGTTTCTGAATCTATTATATGAAAAGTATATGAAAGTCCTAAGTAGGCCACTTCAGGGAAATTTCAGTTCCCTGGGGGAAGGGCGAGCACGTCTTTCAAACAAACTTTACATTCCACGGTCAGATAACATCCCCACTTTCCGGGATTTAGTAAAGGTCATGAGATGAGCGTGGTTTCACAACACGCTTCTTTCGTTCTCTCTCTTTGAATAAAAAATAGGTTCGTGGGTTTAGCCACCCAGTGATCCAAGCAGTGATGCCCCAGCGAGGAGGAGGGGTAGGACGGCCGGAGGCTGCCCCGTGCTCATCCCACCGCTGAGAGGGAGGACGCACAAAAACGATGAGGTGAGTCAGGGGCTGATTCAGCCCAGGACACCAGGGCATTGGACACCCATGAATTAAAACACCTTTGAATTACCTTCCTCATGCAACGAAAAATAAGGAAAGGAAATATATACACCTGCCCAGTATGTGTAATACAACATCAGATCAAGTTTGAAATTGGATGCATCCCAAAACCCACCAAGAGATTTAGGTGTTAGTCTGGACACCGGAAAACTAACTCCCTACAATTACTGTCTTATTACTCAGGATGGCCAAGGTGAGGTTTGGAAGTAACATCATGAATGAAAGAGAGAAAATGAGGCCTGAAGAAAGAGATAGAAGTTTTATTTGCTGGAGACACAGACATTGGGGGTGGGGGCGTGGAATATGAACTCAGAAGGACCTCTATTCCAAGCAAGTGTAGTCCAATCTCTATCCTGGGTCCTGGAATCCCAGCACCTAAAAACAAATAACGTGGGCAAGTGGGGAAAGGTTGTACCTTGGGAAATTGAGGCAAGTTTTAACCACACCTATATGCTCTTGCTTAGGAGCTAAGAAGTCTTCTGATGAGACTTCACTTCTAGGTAGAGTGAAGGACAATATAACGTTTAGTTCTTTTCTGAGTGTAAACTAATGGGTTTACGATCTCCTAGGTCCTTCACTAGGCTGCGTGACAAACTCCACAACTGATTTTGAGATTGATTTATCCCTAGAGGGGGGATCCCTCCCATTTTGTCAATTGAGGCTTTCATCTCAGATGCCATGGAGTTTCTGTTACAACTAAGATTGGTCTCCCCGTTGCTGGGGCCTGGACCCGAATTCACAGGAAATAGAGTACAGATGAGTTTGCAAAGACAAGGCCAAGACTGGGGCCCTGATGTGAACATTAAGTTCTCCTGACTTAATGGAATATTTTTTGTAGATTTCTCCTAAGATGATCACCTCCCCTCAGGGTTCCTCTTAGGCCTCACAACCTAATATAATCTGTTTCTCAATCTTCTCTCGCCTGTCTACAACAGTATACCCACAAATAAATTTCCTCTATAACCCGGTGGTGGAGAAAACTTCCTTAACTATGACTAAAAATTAAGATGTGATTAAGGAAAGAGTGATGTATTTAATTTTATTTAACAATTATATGGCAACCCAACAGAAGGGGAACAAAAGCAAATGGTACTACATCAAAGTAAAATGCTTCTGCAAAGCAAAAGAAACTATCATCAAGGAAATGTAAATCAAAACCACAATAAGATACCACCTCACACCTGTGAGAATGGCTCATATCAAAAAGACCAGAGAAAGCAGATGTTGGTGAGAATATGGAGAAAATGGAACCCTGTATAGTGTTGGTGGGAATGTAGACTGATCCAGCCCCTGGGAAAAGCAGTATGGAATTTTCTGTGATCTTAGGTATCTACCTGAAGGATGCAAAGACACCCACTTGCAGGGATATGTGCACTCCTGTTACAGCGCAACCCCAAAAGGAAATGGGATGGTCTGAGTGTGATTTCTCACCCGCACACTAAAAAAACTCAGGACAAGACCCAACTGCAGGCACACATGGAAAGGTTAATAAAAGGTTTATTTACAAAGGGAAAATGAAAAGAGGGTGAACATGGGGAGAAAGAGGGTGAAATTATTTGGTGATTACGTCCTACTGGTAACACTGAGCTGTGATCCTGGGTTCACTCTGAAGGCTGGCAAAACCAAGCTCACTCCAGGCCCACAGGTGTTTAGTTTTATACCAGGCATGGCTACTTAACCTCACCCTTATTTCCCAGCAATGCCCCCATTCAGGAAGTCAGGTCATGGCAGATTCATGGCATGATGGGAATTGTAATCCTGGGAACCTGGGATCTCATTGGCATGGACGTGGGGGTGGAGTCCATAAAACATCAGTGGGTGCAGTTTGTACAGGACATACTCTTCCTCCAACATCCCTATGTTCATTGCAGCACCATTTACAGTAACTAAATTGTGGAAACAATCTAAGTCCCCCCAAACAGATGACCGGATTAAGAAGATGTGCTATGCATACACAATAGAATACTACTCAGTTATTAAAAAAAAAGAAGAAAAGATAAATCTTGCCATTTGCAACAACATGGATGAAACTGGAGAAGTGTGTGCTAAGCAAACTAGGTCAGGAGAAAGACAAGTGATTTCACTCATATGTGGAATATAAAGAAATAAAGCAAAGGAACTAACAAAAGTAAACCAAAACAAACCTTAGAAATTTGACTGTAGAACTGAGGCTACCAGTGGGGAGAAAAGAGGTGGGAAGAGGGCCCAATGGACTATGATGGAAGGTTCTTGGTGCTCTGGTATTAGGTAGGTGTGGTGTGATAACATACATCTGAAGCTGTATGAACCTATAACAATAGGTACAGTGTTTAAACAAATGTTACCTCAATTAAATAAAAAAATTTTAATAATGCTGTGCTCTAGGCATTTGCATGCTTTACCCTGGTGCCAGCCCTGAGGATGGTTCTAATCTAAACCAGCTGTACTGGTCTCTACTGGATTCTTTTAAGCTATGTATGATGGTCAGATTGTGAATCAGCTAGCAGCTAGGTTAGTCTCCGTCAAATGTCTGTCACTTTGTATTGCATTTGAACAATAGAGATGACAGGCCCCATGCATCCTTTCATTCAACATGCTAGCACATGCTTCTTCACTTGGTGTCCTTTACAGCTGTAAGTGGTAAAAGAGAGAAAGTGCTGCGGGGTGAGCAATTTTCAAGTCTCTCTGTAAATTGCTTGTGTCCCGATGGCCAAAGCAAGTCATCCAGCCTATCCCAGAGTCAGTGTGGATGGACATTTACAAGGGCTTGGAACAGGGAGGCGTGAGCATACCATTATGCCAGCACAATGCCCATGGTGAATTACAGAGATGCAAGAGGATGATGGTGGTAAGTGCATCAACTGAATACATAACTAATTTATAACCAGAAGACCGGAGAAGGATTTTATCCTCCTAGGCATCAGCCACTCAGGAAGGGACTGCCTCACTGAAGAAATAAATTGAATTGATGCACCATGCATATCCCTCAGAGTTTCAAACATGGGCTTTCCAAGGACCTGCCCCATGTGTGACTTATCTCCTAAATCTCTACCTGATGAGAACCTCAAGAAAGACATTTCCAATGCTTGTAAATGGCATACACCGCAGAGGAGCTTAGGGAGTCTATCCCCAGCAGTTCCTCTTTTGGAGAGGTTGAGAATCCTTGTTTTAGAGTAAAAGCAACCTTAACTCCTACATCTAGTACATAAATACCATTTTGCCACTGGATGTAAGAGCTAGTTCTGTTTACAACTCAGCAGCTCTCTGAATCTACATCCACTTGCATAAAGACACAAAAGTTACCATTTTCCTAATTGGTTCCAGGTAGAATTTGACAAATAAACCAATAAAAAGAAATATCTGGACATATACAACTCATTTTAACCTCATCTCCTATTTGGAGTCTCACATAGGCAACCACATTGCCTCAAACCTGTCTCCAAGCCACTCTATGGCCATTTTGATAATGAGGAAAGAGATTTTTTTCCCCATCTTTGGAACTCTGAAAAGTCAAGTTCTGAAAAGCCATTCCTTGCCTGCTAGGAATATCAATCAAACACCAACAACCACTGATGTGTGCAAAACTGAGATCACAGAAACAGTAGGATGATTGTGGACGCAGTCACCATACATTGTGTACAAGCTTATCCCAAAACAAGTCAGTTGGAGCAACTGTCAAAGACATCCAGGGTTTGTTCTGAAAAATATCAGCAGCCTCATTCATTCTTCCCTGGAAATCATTCCAGATACAAAGGATATGAAAGACTCATTTTCACTTGATGGAATGAGAGAGCACATTATTCACTGGTGAGATGAGCTGACTATATTTTATCCATTGACAGTTATTCCTCAAGCAGATCATCAAAATGCAGCTGTTGGGGTAATTATGGGAAATGAATTCACACGCAGAGAAGGGTCATTTTCAGATGAAAAACCACACAACTGAGGGTTCACTTGTAAATAAACTCTGGGACCTTGTTTGAAGAACACTCCCAAACTGTTGGCTTGACAAAGGCTATGAAGCAGTAATGGAAGCACCAGGGAAAAGAATGTCTCAGATGACACCACACGGAGCTTGCTCAAGAGGTGAATAGATTCCACCAAGAGCCAGGGCATTCTCTAACACATTGGGCATTTTCTTGCCATTATTCAGGAGCAACGTTTCCCTTTCACTGATTTCTTTTACTGTAAATGAGAAAGAGAAATAAGAGCTTTTGAAATTGAAGACCATTAATCCCAGCATCCAATTCCAAATCTGTTTCCATGACCTTCTGTATGATCCCTAAAATCATTGCTCATTCTAGGACAAAACATGCATCTCAACAAAGAAGTCTTACATCTACTCTTTGGGGGCTCATCCTTATTTAATAGGCTTTGGTGGAGCGACCTTCAATTTTTGAAATGCAATTGGTTTCTGTCACTTCCCACAGATATGGAGGAAGGAGACATGACTAGGACAACAGATTTCATCAGGGTAATGGATTTTTAGCCTATATTTTGTGACGAAGAGTTCATTGGATTGTATCATGACTACATAAGGACAGGGAAGGCATGATTTGATTAGTAGGCAGAGGAGTTTAGGCTGTGCTCATCCC